ATACATATATATATATATATATATATATACATACACACACACACACACACACATATATATAATAATTCTACGTATATATTTATGTAATAATTTTACATAATTAGGTCATTTTATTAATTACAATTTGCAGGACTTGCCTGACAACCCAGGCCGAAAATTCAGGGAATTTAATTTGCTAGCACTATATTTAACCCTTTAACTTTCCAAGACACCATAAAACATGTACATGGGGGGTACTGTTTTACTCGGAAGACTTCGCTGAACACAAATATTAGTGTTTCAAAACAGCAAAATGTATTACAACGACGATATCGTCAGTGACAGTGAAATTTTTTGCATTTTTCACACACAAATGGCACTTACACTGACAATATAAATGTGATACGTTTTACTGTTTTGAAACACTAATATCTGTGTTCAGCGAAGTTTCCTGGCTTGCGTTTCAGTTTTTTCACATTAAAATTTGCCAGGTTGGTTATGTTGCCTTTGAGACCGTACCGTAGCCCAGGAATGTAAATTACCCCAATGATGGCATACCGTTTGCAATAGTAGACAACCCAGGGTATTGCTAATGGGGTATGTTCAGTCTTTTTTTAGTAGCCACTTAGACACAAACACTGGCCAAAATTGGCTTTCAAATTAGTTTTTTGCATTTTCAAATATTAACACTAACTTTGGCCAGTGTTTGTGACCAAGTGGCTACTAAAAAAGACTGGACATACCCCATTTGCAATACCTTGGGTTGTCTACTTTTGCAAATGGTATGCCATCATGCAGGTAATTCTTATTCCTGAGCTACCACATGGTCTCAAAGGCAACGTAACCAATCTGGCGAATGTCAATGTGAAAAAAATGAAAAATGTAACACGCTATATTTGACCCTGTAACTTCCCAAAACACCATAAAACCTGTACATAGGGGGTACTGTTTTACACTTGAGACATCGCCGAATACAAATATGTGTATTTTATTGCAGTAAAAGCAAACAGTATTTTGACATTCACAGTTAAAATGTCACGTAGAACTAAGAAAATTTTAAAAAATCTTATTTTCTCCCATTTTTTTATATTTTATTCATATTAAATTATGTTCCATACCTAAGTATTTGATGTCAAATGAAAGCACTGTTTCCCCTGAATAAAATGATATATAATAAGTGTGGGTGCATTTAATATGAAAGAGGTGAATTACGGTTGGACAGACATATAGCGCAAATGCCAGGTTTTGTTTACGTTTTGTTTTGCTCACAACTTGTACATTTGGCTGAGGTCCTAAGGGGTTAATTCACAATCTGGCTGCAGACAATTTAGAGAAATGTCAAACAGGTAGAGACATCCTTACTATATGTCTTCCTGGGTGATCTCTCCTTCTACAGGGAGTCCAGAATTATTAGGCAAGTTGTATTTTTGAGGATTAATTTTATTATTGAACAACAACCATGTTCTCAATGAACCCACAAAACTCATTAATATCAAAGCTGAATATTTTTGGAAGTAGTTTTTAGTTTTTTTTTAGTTTTAGCTATGTTAGGGGGATATCTGTGTGTGCAGGTGACTATTACTGTGCATAATTAGGCAACTTAACAAAAAACAAATATATACCCATTTCAATTATTTATTATTACCAGTGAAACCAATATAACATCTCAACATTCACAAATATACATTTCTGACATTCAAAAACAAAACAAAAACAAATCAGTGACCAATATAGCCACCTTTCTTTGCAAGGACACTCAAAAGCCTGCCATCCATGGATTCTGTCAGTGTTTTGATCTGTTCACCATCAACATTGCGTGCAGCAGCAACCACAGCCTCCCAGACACTGTTCAGAGAGGTTTACTGTTTTCCCTCCTTGTAAATCTCACATTTGATGATGGACCACAGGTTCTCAATGGGGTTCAGATCAGGTGAACAAGGAGGCCATGTCATTAGATTTTCTTCTTTTATACCCTTTCTTGCCAGCCACGCTGTGGAGTACTTGGACGCGTGTGATGGAGCATTGTCCTGCATGAAAATCATGTTTTCTTGAAGGATGCAGACTTCTTCCTGTACCACTGCTTGAAGAAGGTGTCTTCCAGGAACTGGCAGTAGGACTGGGAGTTGAGCTTGACTCCATCCTCAACCCGAAAAGGCCCCACAAGCTCATCTTTGATGATACCAGCCCAAACCAGTACTCCACCTCCACCTTGCTGGCGTCTGAGTCGGACTGGAGCTCTCTGCCCTTTACCAATCCAGCCACGGGCCCATCCATCTGGCCCATCAAGACTCACTCTCATTTCATCAGTCCATAAAACCTTAGAAAAATCAGTCTTGAGATATTTCTTGGCCCAGTCTTGACGTTTCAGCTTGTGTGTCTTGTTCAGTGGTGGTCGTCTTTCAGCCTTTCTTACCTTGGCCATGTCTCTGAGTATTGCACACCTTGTGCTTTTGGGCACTCAGTGATGTTGCAGCTCTGAAATATGGCCAAACTGGTGGCAAGTGGCATCGTGGCAGCTGCACGCTTGACTTTTCTCAGTTCATGGGCAGTTATTTTGCGCCTTGGTTTTTCCACACGCTTCTTGCGACCCTGTTGACTATTTTGAATGAAACGCTTGATTGTTCGATGATCACGCTTCAGAAGCTTTGCAATTTTAAGAGTGCTGCATCCCTCTGCAAGATATCTCACTATTTTTGACTTTTCTGAGCCTGTCAAGTCCTTCTTTTGACCCATTTTGCCAAAGGAAAGGAAGTTGCCTAATAATTATGCACACCTGATATAGGGTGTTGATGTCATTAGACCACACCCCTTCTCATTACAGAGATGCACATCACCTAATATGCTTAATTGGTAGTAGGCTTTCGAGCCTATACAGCTTGGAGTAAGACAACATGCATAAAGAGGATGATGTGGTCAAAATACTCATTTGCCTAATAATTCTGCACTCCCTGTATATATTTATGTGCTATGTAGGGTGTTTTTATATATAAAAAATATAAAAACACCCTACATAGCACAATGACTTATGGGGCTGGCATAGATTTTTTTCAAGGGCTGCTTCGTATCTCCAGTCCGGCCCTGAAGCTACTGTGTTTACTAAACAGGACCTTAGGGGTGCATACAATCTCATACGTATCAAAAAGGATCATGAATGGAAGACCGCATTCAATACTAGGAGTGGTCATTACGAATACACAGTGATGCCCTTTGGTCTTTGTAACGCCCCAGCAGTGTTTCAAGAGTTTATTAATGATGTCCTACGAGAGTACATACACACATTCGTAATCGTGTACTTGGACGACATATTAATATATACACCCGATTTGCATACTCATCACATGCATGTTAAATTAGTTTTGAAAACTCTTCTTGTTAATGGTCTCTATTGTAAACTCGAAAAATGTTCGTTTGATCAATCCGAAGTCCAATTCTTGGGTTATATCATCTCTGCTAAGGATTTTCGTATGGATCCCAAGAAACTTTCTGCTATCATGGAATGGCCTCTACCTCAGGGTTTGAAAGCCATTCAGCGTTTTCTTGGTTTTTCAAATTATTATAGGCGCTTTATTAAAGGACCACTATAGGCACCCAGACCACTTCAGCTTAATGAAGTGGTCTGGGTGCCAGGTCCATCTAGGATTAACCCTTTTTTCTATAAACATAGCAGTTTCACAGAAACTGCTATGTTTATAATATGGTTAATACAGCCTCTAGTGGCTGTCTCTTGACAGGCGCTAGAGGCGCTTGCGTGCTTCTCACTGTGAAAATCACAGTGAGAAGACGCCAGCGTCCATAGGAAAGCATTATAAATGCTTTCCTATGAACTGGCTGAATGCGCGTGCGGCTCCTGCCGCGCATGCGCATTCAGCCGATGACGTCGCTATGGAGGAGGAGAAGAGGAGGAGAGCTCCCCGCCCAGCGCTGGAGAAAGGTAAGAGCCCGGCGGGAGGGGGACCCTGAGGGTGGGGGCACCCTCAGGGCACTATAGTGCCAGGAAAACGAGTGTTTTCCTGGCACTATAGAAATCCTTTAAAGGTTTTTCTTCCATTGTAGCGCCTATAACCCAAATGACTAAAAAGGATGGTAATACTCATGTCTAGAAGCGCTTGAGGCTTTTGTATTTCTTAAAACTGCGTTCGCTTCTGCTCCTATTTTACAGCATCCTGTCCCTTCTTTGCCTTTTATTCTTGAAGTTGAGGCTTCAGATATTGGGGTGGGTGCTATATTGTCTCAAAGAGAATCTCCAGAGAGGCCTTTACATCCATGTGGTTTCTTTTCTAAGCAGATGTCCAAAGCCGAAAATAATTATGACATAGGCAATCCGGAACTCCTTGCCATTATTTTAGCACTAAGGATCCTATCTTCATACTTACCGATCATAAAAACCTTTCCTACCTTAGTGAAGCCAAGAGATTGTCTTCTAGGTAGGCCAGGTGGTCTCTGTTTTTATCTCGTTTCAATTATATCATCACCTACAGACCGGGTGATTGTAACACTAAAGCTGACGCTCTGTCCAGACAGTTCGAAACAACCGACAAACAGGAGCTTGATGATACCTCTGTCATTCCCCCGGACAGAATAATCGCTACTACTGTTCTTTCTATTTCTTCGTCCATCTTGCAATTCTGCTGCTCGTCAAAACGTTCAGGCTGACAAACATCGCAGAGGGGCTCTATCCTATGTTGTGGGGGATAGGGTTTGGCTTTCTACTCATAACATCCGCCTTCGTGTGCCTTCTATGAAGCTGGCTCCCTGTTTTATATGTCCTTTTCGTATCTTGCATAAAGTTAATCCTGTTTCTTATGCCTTGGATCTTCCCAGTAACCTGTGTATTCCTAACGTCTTTCACACCTCCTTGTTGAAACCACTCCTGTGTAACCGTAATATATGTAATAGAGGCCATCTGCTATTATTTGACTCGCGCATCCTTTTGTATTTACAATTGATTGGGTTTTTTTTGTATCAGGGGAGTATCTCAATTAGATTGCACCCACTATTGACATTTACTTACTTTATCTACTTTATATGATACCGTAAATGCAGGAGCCATGATTTATTGCTATACAGAGTACAGAAGGTGTGATGGTAAATATGGGTTCAGTAAATACAGGGGGCACGATGTTATGTAGGGGTTCAGTAAATACAGGGGGCGCGATGTTATGTAGGGGTTCAGTAAATACAGAGGGTATGATGTTATGTAGGGGTTCAGTAAATACAGGGGGTATGATGTTATGTAGGGGTTCAGTAAATACAGGGGGCATGATGTTATGTAGGGATTCAGTAAATACAGAGGGCATGATGTTATGAAGGGGTTCAGTAAATACAGAGGGTATGATGTTATGTAGGGGTTCAGTAAATACAGGGGGCACGATGTTATGAAGGGGTTCAGTAAATACAGGGGGCACGATGTTATGTAGGGGTTCAGTAAATACAGGGGGTATGATGTTATGTAGGGGTTCAGTAAATACAGGGGGCACGATGTTATGTAGGGGTTCAGTAAATACAGGGGGCATGATGTTATGTAGGGGTTCAGTAAATACAGAGGGTATGATGTTATGTAGGGGTTCAGTAAATACAGGGGGCACGATGTTATGTAGGGGTTCAGTAAATACAGGGGGCATGATGTTATGTAGGGGTTCAGTAAATACAGGGGGCATGATGTTATGAAGGGGTTCAGTAAATACAGGGGGCATGATGTTATGTAGGGGTTCAGTAAATACAGGGGGCACGATGTTATGTAGGGGTTCAGTAAATACAGGGGGCACGATGTTATGTAGGGGTTCAGTAAATACAGAGGGTATGATGTTATGTAGGGGTTCAGTAAATACAGGGGGCACGATGTTATGTAGGGGTTCAGTAAATACAGGGGGCACGATGTTATGTAGGGGTTCAGTAAATACAGAGGGTATGATGTTATGTAGGGGTTCAGTAAATACAGAGGGTATGATGTTATGTAGGGATTCAGTAAATACAGGGGGCATGATGTTATGTAGGGGTTCAGTAAATACAGGGGGCACGATGTTATGTAGGAGTTCAGTAAATACAGGGGGCGTGATGTTATGAAGGGGTTCAGTAAATACAGGGGGCATGATGTTATGTAGGGATTCAGTAAATACAGGGGGTATGATGTTATGAAGGGGTTCAGTAAATACAGAGGGCATGATGTTATGAAGGGGTTCAGTAAATACAGAGGGTATGATGTTATGAAGGGGTTCAGTAAATACAGGGGGCACGATGTTATGTAGGGGTTCAGTAAATACAGGGGGCACGATGTTATGAAGGGGTTATGTAAATACAGGGGGCACGATGTTATGTAGGGGTTCAGTAAATACAGGGGGCATGATGTTATGTAGGGGTTCAGTAAATACAGAGGGCATGATGTTATGAAGGGGTTCAGTAAATACAGGGGGCATGATGTTATGTAGGGGTTCAGTAAATACAGGGGGCATGATGTTATGAAGGGGTTATGTAAATACAGGGGGCATGATATTTTATATTGGTCCAATAAATACACAGTATTCAGTAATTGCAGAGGATGTGACGTTATACCCAGTATGTTAAATAGGTAAATACAACAGACATTGTACCATGTAGGGCAGAGTAATATTGTGTTTTAGGCTGAAAATACGTCACACAATCCCAATGTTGACCACCTCACCCTCCCTTTCCACCACCACCACTAATGTTTCATTTTGCCCCACATATAGAAAACTCCTCTCTGACTCCAAAAAGGCAGGTGGCTCTGATATTTTCATTATTAATCATTATTATGGCACTCTGTATTCTGCTTAGCTGAAGCAGATCATACCGTAACCTTTTCTAAAAATCAGTTGGCACTATATAAATATTATTATTAATAATAATGATGATGAAACAGGCATTCATGGAATATGACAACAACACTTTGGGAAGAGAATTGTTTACAGAATACATACTGCTTTAGTAGGCATAATAAATAAAATGAAATATATGTTTACTAGTAACTGTAATAGCCTTAGCTATTTGTTGTAAGCTATATTTCTGTACTGGTACATACTGCAATATATCATCACAGCTGATGTACATATGAGACACTGACAAATGTCAAATTTAGCAGTGGGTGGGGACTTAAACCTCCTCCTCCAATCACTGCTCACCAGGAAATACTTACTGGATAAATCTGAAGGTCACAGATCCTTGGACTAGACAGAGAGGAGTGGGAGGGTGAAACTAAATTAGATGCTAGTTTGTAATTAATTAAATTAACCAAACTAGTTGTTCAGTAATATTGTTCTACATCACTTATTGCAAGCACAAATCCTGACAGGCAGGAACCAACTGATACAGTAGATTTTGTTAGCTCTGCCTACAAGCTTACAAGCAGTGTAGCTGATAGATTAGAAAATTAATATTCTTTTTTTTTCTGGGGGGGGAAAAAAAAAATTAGATTTCGATCACATTATGTAAAGTGACACTATAGGGTCAGAGGGACATTGGTGCCGGAATAAGTGTTTAAACGGTTATTTAACCCTTTGAATGCCGCAGGAGGATGGGTGCGGCGCACATAAGGACACCATAGTGTTAAAAAATACAGCTGTGTGTTCCTAACATTATAGCGTTCCTTTTAAGGCGAAACTGTCCCATCCCAGGATTTTTTTTATATTATATTTAACTTATTCCTATATTTAATGCGTGAGCTGTGAAAAAAAAATAAAAAATAACAGCATAAAGACAGGATAAAGAGGTGTGGGTATCTAGTGTTCATTTTATCCCCTATTCTTGTTAATTTTACCCCCCACAACTTTGTCCTTTATACCAGCAGTCAGAATTTTTAATAATTTCTATTTTTCCGCCTCATTTGCAAGATTTGCCCAGGCTGTGCCTGGGGACTAAACTGAATCGTGAAGTTACTTGCTAAAACATCAATATAAATTTAAAAGAGAAACGAGCATCATGTGAAAAAAAAGGGTTAACAAATGTCCAGATAAGTGACAGTTCACTTCCTAAGTGCCAGAGTCACTATAGTTCAATGTAGTAGTTATGAAGCAGCGATACGTTTTAGGTGCAGTCCTACGTGTTTCTGTCATAGTGTTGTTGAGTAGTTTTAGAAAAATTTACATCTAAACCCAAAGTCCAGCCGTCTGTGATCTTCAAGTAATAAAAACGGTCCACCACCATATTATCCATCTAACACCATCTTACTTTGAACAGCAATGACAGACGGCGTGCTGTAGGTTAACCAAGTTCCAAACTTCACAACCTGTCATAGTTAACCATAACCACCACAATACAGTTTAGTAGTTATTGTGATTGGAATGTCCCTGTAATCCAAACTGTTCCTTCTCTTTTTTTTGTTTTTTTCTGTCAAATAGCATTTGTAAACAGACATTTAAAGGGAACCTATAGAAATAATTTTTTTCGGCACTATAGGTTCCCTTCCAGCAGTGTGATTACCCCCCTCCCTGCTCCCCTGTTTTTCTGTAACGTGAAAGGTAAAGTTAATGTACTCACCTGATTTCCAGTGCCAAGACTCCTCTACTGCAACCGCCAATTCAGCCTCCGAAGACGTCAACATTCCTTCTGACGACTTCCGTGATCTCATTGCAAAGCATTGGATTGGAGATATGAAGGCTTGGCCAAACTCTGTGCTACTCTAATCAAATACTACTATCAGGAGAATTTAATTAAATAACCTACTTTGACTCTGTTCTGGAACAACCACATCAAGCTCTAATTGTTCCTTTAATCTTCGTAACTAGTGACCATATTTACCTAGATTTTTAAGGACTAGCAGGGTTATTTAGTAACCTGAGAATTAAAAGCAAATTTCAAATTGAAGGCCACAGTAGCCAAACCGGAAACATACTGGACTTTTTGACAGTTCCGTGATTTTGAACTTTAACATTTACTTTCAATTCTCACTTTAGTAAATAAACCTTTATGTGTTCGATAAGGTCATTATTGTGTAAAGGATGGAGCATATAAAAAGAGACGACTTGTAAATGGAGGGGGAACAAGAGGCAGAAAGTCCTGCACCCAGGACACAGTGTACCATGGCTTTCTCCTGAGTGCATGTATACCCAGAGATTGGCACACTGCCATGACGTCCACCAATTAAATAAGAAAATCAAAGCAGAAATCTCTGGCCCGAGGCAAGGGTGAGACTTGTAATAATAGCGCAAGTAAGATTTAGAGGCTTATTATGATTAACATAAAGCTCTGTACCCTTGAGAAAACTGGAAGCATTTAAAGAAGAAAAACCCTCAATGTAGTTATTTCTGTTACATATATAGAGAGAGAGAGGGAGCACTGCGGAATAAGTTGGCAAGTTGGCGCAATATAAACGCAAAAATAATAATTATATACATAATACTGATAAAGGAAACTTGAACTTTTAGATCCGAATAGCTCAGACGGAAAATAGTGTCCTCGGAGAACGTTTCCAGTTAAGCTACACTGGTTTTTATTTGTCAAATTCCCTTCTTGATTCTCCAAGAATCACAATTTATTGAATGAACCCCTAACATGAATCTGTATTTGGGTCCAATAAGTGTAGCTCCATTATGGTAATAATGCTGTACGTCTTATTAGTGGGTGTAGCAGTGTCACCATTTAGTGAAAAAAGCCCTGTGTATGGTTAGGGATGGTCGCCATATAATGGATAGGGCTCAGTGTATATGTAGGTCGCCATATAGCGAATAATGCTCAGTGTATAGCAGGGAATGGTTGCCATTTAGTGGATAAGGCTCAGTGTATAGCAGGGAATGGGCGCCATTTATTGAATAATGCTCAGCGTATAGCAGGGAATGGTCGCCATTTACAGAATAAGGCTCAGTGTATAGCTGGGAATGGTCGCCATTTAGCAGATAAGGCTCAGTGTATAGCTGGGGATGGTCGCCATTTATTGGATAAGGCTCAGTGTATAGCAGGGAATGGTCGCCATTTACTGAATAAGGCTCAGTGTATAGCAGGGAATGGTCGCCATTTAGTGAATAAGGCTCAGTGTATAGCAGGGAATGGTCGCCATTTAGCGGATAAGGCTCAGTGTATGGCTGGGAATGGTCGCCATTTAGTGGATAAGGCTCAGTGTATGGCTGGGAATGGTCGCCATTTAGTGAATAAGGCTCAGTGTATAGCTGGGAATGGTCGCCATTTAGTGAATAAGGCTCAGTGTATAGCAGGGAATGGTCGCCATTTAGTGGATAAGGCTCAGTGTATGGCTGGGAATGGTCGCCATTTAGTGGATAAGGCTCAGTGTATGGCTGGGAATGGTCGCCATTTAGTGGATAAGGCTCAGTGTATGGCTGGGAATGGTCGCCATTTAGTGAATAATGCTCAGTGTATGGCTGGGAATGGTCGCCATTTATTGGATGAGGCTCAGTGTACGGCTGGGAATGGTCGCCATTTATTGGATGAGGCTCAGTGTACGGCTGGGAATGGTCGCCATTTATTGGATATGGCTCAGTGTATAGGTAGGTAAGGTCGCCATTTATTGGATGAGGTCGCCATTTAGTGGATGAGGTCGCCATTTGGTGGAGGAGGTCGCCATTTAGTGGATGAGGTCGCCATTTGGTGGATAAGGCTCAGTGTATGGCTGGGAATGGTCGCCATTTATTGGATGAGGCTCAGTGTATGGCTGGGAATGGTCGCCATTTAGTGGATGAGGTCGCCATTTGGTGGATAAGGCTCAGTGTATGGCTGGGAATGGTCGCCATTTAGTGGATAAGGCTCAGTGTACGGCTGGGAATGGTCGCCATTTAGTGGATAAGGCTCAGTGTATGGCTGGGAATGGTCGCCATTTATTGGATATGGCTCAGTGTATAGGTAGGTAAGGTCGCCATTTATTGGATGAGGTCGCCATTTAGTGGATGAGCTCGCCATTTGGTGGAGGAGGTCGCCATTTGGTGGAGGAGGTCGCCATTTAGTGGATAAGGCTCAGTGTACGGCTGGGAATGGTCGCCATTTATTGGATGAGGCTCAGTGTACGGCTGGGAATGGTCGCCATTTAGTGGATAAGGCTCAGTGTACGGCTGGGAATGGTTGCCATTTATTGGATGAGGCTCAGTGTACGGCTGGGAATGGTCGCCATTTATTGGATATGGCTCAGTGTATAGGTAGGTAAGGTCGCCATTTATTGGATGAGGTCGCCATTTAGTGGATGAGGTCGCCATTTGGTGGAGGAGGTCGCCATTTAGTGGATGAGGTCGCCATTTGGTGGATGAGGTCGCCATTTAGTGGATGAGTCCCTATGCTGGTGCCCATGGCTCTCCTCCTCCCGGATTCACGCAGGGCGGGCGCAGCACACAAACAATAATCCAGGATTTACCCAGCTGCGCGTGTTACAGGTTCTGTGCCGGGTCCCAGGGGCCACACGGCTCCTGCATCTTCAACCCCCAGCCAGCATGCAGGGGCCCCAGGGCAGGGACCCCGAGAAGGAGAGGAGATACTCCGTGCTCTTCCAGCAGCTGGACTCCAATGGAGATGGACAGGTGGACATCAACGAGCTGAGAGAGGGGCTGAGGGCCATGGGCATGAACCCCTGCCAGAATGCAGAGCAAGTGAGTCACACTCAGCCATAATCACTCACACTCAGACATAATCACTCACACTCAGCCATACTCAATCACACTCAGCCATACTCAGTCACACTCACACTCAGCCATAATCACTCACACTCAGCCATAATCACTCTCACTCAGCCATAATCACTCACACTCAGCCATACTCAATCATACTCAATCACACTCAGCCATACTCAGTCACACTCAGCCATACTCAGTCACACTCAGCCATACTCAGTCACACTCACACTCAGCCATAATCAGTCACACTCAGCCATAATCAGTCACACTCACACTCAGCCATACTCAGTCACACTCACACTCAGACATAATCAGTCACACTCTGCCATACTCAGTCACGCTCACACTCAGCCATATTCAGTCACAGCCACACTCAGCCATAATCAGCCACACTCAGCCATAATCAGCCACACTCAGCCATAATCAGTCACACTCAGCCATAATCAGCACCACTCTATACTGAAACATGCCAGGCTAGTCATACCTTTACCACTACATACTGCAACATGCCAGGCTAGTCATACCTTTACCACTACATACTGCAACATGATTGGCAACTCTGCCATACTCAGTAATAACCAGCACCACTCTATACTGCAACATGCCAGGCTAGTCATACCAAGGATCACTCTATACTGCAACATGCCAGGCTAGTCATACCAAGCATCACTCTATACTCCAACATGCCAGGCTAGTCATACCCAGCACCACTCAACACTGCAACATGCCAGGTTAGTCATACCAAGCATCACTCTATACTGAACCATGCCAGGCTAGTCATACCAAGCACCACTCTATACTGTAACATGACTGGCAACACTGCCATACTCAGCACCACTCTATACTGCACTGCCATGCAGGCCACTCATACTCAGTCATACTCAGCACCACTACATACTGTAACATGACTGGTAACACTGCCAGCCTAGTCATACCCATCACCTTCTATACTGCAACATGACTGGTAACACTGCCATACTCAGTAATACCCAGCACCACTCTAAGCTGCACCATGCTAGGCAAGTCATATCGTGCCAGGCTAGTCATACTCAGCACCCACTCTATACTGCAACATGTCTAGTCACATTGCTTGGGCCTTATACTGCCACCCAGGCTAGCCATCCTCAGTACCATACTGTACAGGCTAAAATCCAGCTGAGATGCAGCCAATAGATAGCACTGGCAGCACAACAATGAAATTGGCAGCAAATATATTTCCATCCACATACTTAGCAGCACTGTGTATGACTGTGGTATTGTGTGAGGATATGAGTTTAGTTAACCATTTCAGCTCCAGGACTCAGCAGTCCTTTTCAGGGCCATGACATTGGCTGCTGGCGCAGAAATGGTTAATTAGCCATGTACAGCGTGATTGTAATAAGATTCACTGCCATAAGATTCAAATTTCAGGCCAGAGTAGTCGAACTGAACGCATAGCTGACTGTGAGAATGTTTCCCTACATTATCCCCGTTAGTATATGACCATACTGGAGAATTAGTGAGTCATTGTGGCTCGCACTGTGGAATTCACAAGTCTTTGCCGTATGTAAATAGTGTGTGTGACACTGGTTAGTGCTATATGATGCAGACAGTAAAATCACATGAATTGCAGTGCTTTCTGTTTTACAGGATAATTCAGTAAAGGGTGAAATGTCAAGGATGTGGCAAGAATTTCAGATTTTAGGAAAATATAGCAAAACTGTTGTACTTCATGGACTTTAGTGGGGGGGTTTTTCAACCTGGGCTACTATGTAACTACGTAACTGAAAATATAGATGACAGCGTTTGGTTTTTTTTAGTTCTTTTTCCTAAAATTTAAAA